CTCAGGACATGCTTCACAAGGTTGTATATGTTCAGCTAAACATTTAAATGCATCTTTCATTTTCCAGTGTCCTTCATTAGCAACTACCTTTGCAACGTTCAGTAATCCAAGACAATTTTTACAAGGTTGTCTATGCTCACTAATACATACTGTTTCTCCCGCAACAATATAATCAACTAATGACAACCCTTCAAACAAAGAAATTGCTCCGTCAGGGGTATCTGTATATTCTGATAGTTTTTTAAGCTTTTCCCTTTTGTAAATACTAATCATATAAAATTGCCCCTTGGAATTAAGGGGCACATTTAAAAATCCTTGCTCGACATTTCACCAATAGGTTTACTTTCATCATTAACTCTATTGCAATCGTCATCACTGAATGACAAAGTTTGTTGTGTGTGACTATTCTTTTGGACAGGCAGACCTTGCTGTGGGTTAATATTTATTGTGACAGATGAATTTGGTTGTGAAATATTATCAGCAATGAAAGATATATTTTGCTGTTGTGGGTGACTGGTATGGGCAAATGGATTTTGTTTCAAGCAATTATTAGCTATTATAGGTATGCTTTGCTGTGGTTGGTCATTGATAAGTGGTTGACTATGCTGTGATGGTGTTGGGTGTGGGCAACTAGCCACGTTGACAAATGAGAAATTCTGAGAATTAGTGATGTCTCTCACAGATGAACTTTTCTGGGGGCAAGGAACACTTTTTTGAAAATCAGCATTGATAGAATGTGCTTGGTTTATATTGACATTTAAGGACGGGCTTTGCTCAGGGTAATTATCTAGATCAATTTGCTGTGGGAGGCTCATATGTTCCTGTGATATTGAAGATCTGCAAAAGGAATGCAAAGATGTTTGACCCTTAATTCTATTGTTTGGCTTCTTAAGGTCAGTTGTTGAATTGACTTTTGTTTTTTTAGAATAATACCAAGCTGATTTGTGCTCTTTACGTTGTAATAATTTCATTTCAGACTCCAGAGTTTGCTTTTCAGATAAAAGCTGTTTCTTTTCATTTAACAATCTATCACACAATTGATAATCTTTCACTTGCTCTGCTTTCAATTTGCGCTTCTCTTTAACCACGATTTGGTCATTTATTACTTGAAGTTGTTCTGTGATCTTAAGAATTCTGGTTTTTCTATCATCAGATAAAGTATTCTTTGGTTTTGAACTGGGGGGTTCTGTTTGATTATGTTTGCTCCTTGAAAAGCCTTTTTTGAAAACATATCCACATTCCCTAACGTTTTGTCGGGCCTGTTCAAACAATGCACTTCTATCAAATATCAATGATGGATTCATAGTTACCAACTCTTCTGATGCAGCATTTATTGCTTTTTCATATGGTTTTAGTGAATGTTCTGATCTTTGATATATTTGCCCTCTTTGTATTGACTCATGTTCTGTCTGAGCTTGAAGGTTCACAATATCCTGAAAAAAGTCTGAATGAATGAATGTATTCACATGCACAAAACAACATATTTTCTGGATATACCTGTATAGCTCAATGTTCATATTTCAATTATAGTAATTTGTAATTGTCATACAAATTCTATAGTTTTAATTTGGGTGCCTCATTTTACATTGGAAAGAATTTAATAGTGGAAAAATATAATTTCCAGCACCAAATCATTTTTTTATGAATATCAAAGTATATCATGTGTGTGTTAACTTAATTTACCTGCTCTTGTAAAGGCTCAAGGATCATTTCACCCTTTGTTGATAGTTTTATTTTCTTTTGGCCTTTGAATACTTGTCGAACCTTCTCTTTGGGTAAGTCCCTCTTTGTGGAGTCATTCTGTTAAAATACAGATTAGTATTGTGAAACAATTATAATTCCCTTTCTCCCAAACCCTGCATAGTGCATGATTATATCCCATATGGCAATGAGGCAGATATGCCCTTCTATTGTATTTTACTCTGCCCAACGCCAGCCTGTTTTACTTTAATTGGCTATAAGTAAACAATGATTTTACTCTTCAGTAGTAGGGTACTGGCAGTTAATGGGTTTAGTCTACAAATTCTTTCAGTATCTGCAGCATATCAAATATTTTCTAAAAGAGGTCACATCACCGTTTTATACAGCTTATTTATTTATTTATTTAATTATTTAACTTCGCCATTGTCATGCATTCATGGCAGGGTCACCACAACAGTAGATATAAATATAAATGCCATTTCTTTATTTATTTGCCATTTTTTTTGCTTAGATATAAATGCCATTTCTTTTTCTTTATATAAACATTCAGAGACATAGCTAGAGCTACTCCCCCATGCAGAGTTGTTGGCCTGAACATTTACAGGATTCATGCAAATCCATTATGTTGCAACCTCCCTGGTTTGTTGTGACTACATCATTGACAATATTTAACAATTAATACATGTAATTCGAACCAATATATCCAGTCCCATTTAAAGAATGCATATTAAGTAATATAAAAATGGCTTTGAATGTTCAAATTGCATGAGTTGATAGTGTTGAGGAAAAGTGTAGTTTAATACTTACTAGAGATGTATCTTGACCATCATCAGATCGGCAGGTTTGGTTCAATATTATTTTAAGTTTATCACCAGTATTAATCTGGGCAAAACTGTCACAATCTATGTACTCGCTCCATTCTTCATCATATTTCTGGACAATCAATACGTTTCCTTTATTTAATTCAAAACATTCCCTCGCTTTGTTGACAATGTCGGAGAATTTGTCCACGAAAACCACCTTCCGACTGTCGTCATACTGAAGTAGAACCTGTTTTGAAACGAAAACATATATATATAATATATAAAATATTTAATATATGTAAATATAAAACTTATCGCATGACTGCCCTGGGCATTCATAAGATATTTTATATTAATTAAATCACCAAAAATTATTTATTCATTAAAAAAACATACATATTTTAATAAAAAGACATATATGATATAATATAATATAAATCAAACATGGATGGTTTAATGTAGTGTGATATTAATATGGATTAAAATACCTTTTTCGATGAAACTTGATCTTCTTGTTTGTCCGCCATATTGCCATAGTTGTTACCAGGCTTGTGAATATCAAAACCGCGCAAACTTTCAAGATGGCGGATGTCAAAATTTCCCGACTCTGGGAGTTGATGCATAGGTCAAATTCCCTTCACTGGGGCTTCATAGTGTGGTCAAAGTCCCCTGGGTCGCCCGCATCCCCCCCTCAGGGGGAAAACAATGATAGGTGCATTATAAGCAATACGAAAGTTTCTTTTATATTTATATAAATATACATACAAATACACGTACATGCATGCATAATATTTCGTTCCGCGGTTTTATACAGACGAACAAATTTTTGTACCAGACGAAGCTGCTGTTTCGCCAAACACGAAGAAAGTCGCAAACTAAGTTTTGTTTAACAGTGTGCTCGTGTAGAGGTATTCTTGAAAGTTATTTCTATAATGAATAAAATTACTAAATTATTCATCTCGGGGTCCGGTGAATAGTACAAGGTTATTCACCTCCTCGACGTTTCCGTGAATATTCTTGCACTATTCACCTTCACTTCGGTGAATAACTGTTAATATATTTATAACTAATACATTTTTTCCCAGTTAACGAAATAAAATTACGAAATGATGAGGAAACAGCACGGTTGAAATTCGCCTCGCAATGCCAAGTAACTCTGATAGCTAGATTAGATGGCTTCATATAAACGCCCACTTACTCTGAAGATAGTTACAATTTGTTCAAATGTACAATCAGTATAAATGTAATAGAGATAATATAATTACAGAAATGTAATAATATAACTGATTATTCATATTATCAAATCTTGTCGTTATTTATTCTTGTTAGTGTTATTTTTCTCGACATTGATTTGACTCAGAATAATAGCGACGTCCTCGTGTATCGTCATCGATCCGTGTCGTTGAACAATGAAAAAATTGTCGTGAAATTATTGAAGTAAAAATAGCATTTTATGAGAAAACTGCGGGTCTACGGAGTGGGAACTTTTCGGATTTGAACTCAGCGTGTTCGAAAGTGTTAGTTCCCGTAAAAATATTTCAGATTTAAGACATGCTTAATGAAAGTGAACTATATTGGGTCACAACACACGGACTAATGGTAATTGGCGATTAGCGGCCTTCTACGGCGGGAGATTATCATTATTTTGCACTTAGAGGTGTTGAATGTGATGTTTGAATCAACACTCCAAACTCCAGCGCACGACAAGGCGGTCTGCGGGCAAGCACTATCCTCGTCAGACGTTATAGCCTTGTATAGCTTCGCGTCGTCAGCGTACAGTCCTGTTGATGTTGCTTGAGGGATTGCGTCTGAGGGATCATTACTGAACAGAAGAAAAAGCATGGGACTAAAATGCTTCCTTGTGGGACGCCAGAGGTTACTGGGGACCATTCCGAAGTTACGCTTTCCACGACAACACGCTGTGTACGCCCTCGTAGGTAGCTACTGAACCAGTTGTAAAGGTTTCCCGATATTCCATACATTCTTAGTTTCATTAGGAGAATGTTATGATCAACCGAATCGAAGGCCTTTGCAAAATCAAGGAAGATAACGTCCGTCTGGATATTATTGTCGAGTAGTTGTCCGATTCGATGAAGAGTGGTCAGAAGTTGAGTGACACACGAGCGACCATGAAGGAATCCGTGCTGGGCGTCATTTATCATGACCCGAATATGATCACAGAATTGAATACGGACGCATCGCCCCCAAGACTTTGCTAAGAATGGATAGCATAGAGATATTGGTCGGTAGTTGGTGGCAGGTTCCTTTTTCTCTTTCTTATGTACGGGTGTGATATTAGCGGATTTCCATTCAGAAGGAACAGTTCCAGAACGAAGGCAGTGGTTGAAAAGTGAGCAAGGACTTGGAGCGATAATAGCACTGCATTCTTTTAAAATCCGACCAGGAATACCATCAGGACCAGTAGCTTTAGATGGATCCAGGTGGTATAGGTGTTTAGCAACTTCTTCTGAGACGGTAATGTCGGATAGTTGGGAACAGGAAATCAAAAAGGAGGTGGAATCGTTCATGGTGGTCTTAGCAGGACGGAAGACAGAACAGAAATAGGTGTCAAATAGTTCTGCTTTTTCTTTTGGTGGACTTTGCTGTGCAGTTGTTGAAGGTTATAGCAGGATTGAGAGAAGTGGTGATGAAGAATGGTTTTATGGTATTTCCAGAACATCTTCGGGTTCTCATTGAGTGACGCTTCAATTTTCACGAGATACAATTTATGTTTAGCTCTAATTGCTGACACGAAGTACGCAATTTGATTTTACGATCCGCTGTTTTGTTCTTTCGGTATTTCCTCAACGCAGTAGGATACGACTACAATAGATACTGCCTTATTGCATGGTATTCTTTATATAAAGAATACTAATTAGGAGTGTTTTATCAGGTTTAAACTTTAAAGCCACTGCACGTGACATATTATGGTTGACATGATTTGTCAATAAGCCTATGAATTAGTAATGAGTGTTTGTTATTATAGTTTTTCGAAATATTACTTTTAATTATTCATGCGCACATATTTTTAGTAGAGAGCCAAGTTCAACTTCGCGTTCATACGTCAAACAAACGGCGGGGAAAGGAAAATATGTAAGGCAATAGAGAATATAAGTGAACTTTAAATCTCTAGTATATAACGATTATTTTGATCTAGGAAATAATTTAGTATGAAGCGAAGAAGTTTACTTAAGCGAAAATGCCGCAAATTTGACTCAGTCGTTTGACTCCTTATCAATTCCGTTATTTTGAATTATACTGTGCGTATTAAGGTACAGATTTTAGAAAGATGTTGGGCCTTACTTACATGCCTTATCTGCCGTTACATAGAGCGTAATATAGAATGAGACCTAAATGATGCTAAAAGTTTTAAAAGGCATTTTGGCTAGAAACAGAATACAAAGCTTTGGCCAAGCTAAAGCAAGGGCATATGTAATACATATACAATTTTATATAAACGTTGATCATATTTCATTAGGGAAACAATTGATTGCAAATAAATACGCTCCTATAAATACCCGAAATAGAGGATTTATTATAGAGAATATCGAGCAAAATACGCTGTTTATTGATGTATATTTATTTTATTCTTTATTGTACATGTTCAGTTCAACAAAATTGGAAAATCGACCACCCAGTGTTTACTCACACAGCGGTTATTTGATCGATCAACTAGTTAAATAAATGTTCTGCCGAATACAACACTCAACATCAATTTTCTGAGGATTCTGCCTTCTCTTGTTGATATAAAACTAAAGCCGAAGCTGTGTCGTTCAGTGCATGCCATGAGCATCGAAAGGAAGATCTATATCGTCTACATACGTTTACAAGTTCAAACGTCCAGCCGGGCCTTAACAACTTCGCCCCTGAGAATAATAGTTGGGCAGATAGAAGGAAAAAACTTAATCTCGTGGGACAATTCCATGTTGCCTTCATATTGTGTCCTGAAGGCTAATAAGTACGTTTCTGTATGTTAGCCGCGTTAAAATTGTGGACCGCTCCTGCCGACACGTTTTTCTTCGAATTTTGTATTAAACTCTATATTACAGTTAAAAAATTTGAAATTTCGGATACATTTCTAATACAAATGACTTGCATCATTTGAAAGCTTGCAAAAAACCACATATAAGACATTTAAACGGTTACCCGGGATTTTCAAGTTCTTCTTTAGTTATGAGCTGTTGAATGCGTGTTTTCAAACTTGTACCCAAGAATTTTGCGAGATTTTGGCTTATTTTTCACATTTAAAACAGCAATAACTCCAAAAGCGCTTGAAAATCCCAACTAACCATTTAAATGTCTTACATGTAGTTTTTTGTTAGCTTTCTATTGATGCAAGTCATTTGTATTAGAAACATTTTAGGTCAATGAAATATATTCTTCATGTGAACTTAAACTGGGGGAGAGGAATTCAGCACCCGTTGCGCATGCTCAACGTCAAACGCGGATAAACATTAAACACTTCGGTTTTCTTGTTTGTTTCGTTTTGAAAGTTTTTCTCCAGGAAAACCCCACAAAAGCGGTAGGTTTCGCTAATTTTATTTATTTAAATCAATTATAGTAGGTAACTCGTGATGTTCTCAATGCATGTTGATAAAAATTTAGTATATATTTCCCTCTTAAACGTTGCCAAAGCGGTAATGGCTACGGATACGAAGACGAGAGATTGTCTCACTATTTTATATTCGATTTTAAGTCGCTATTGTACAGATTTTTAGACTTTTTTGTGTTTTATTAAAAGTCAACAGTCATACATAAGACATACTATATATACTGCAAATCATTTGAAAATTGTAAAAAATCTGTTTATAGGAAGAAAATAGTCATCACAATTAACTTCATATTCTGGCTGGCTTTAATATTTTCTCTTCAGATGGCACTTCAGCTTTGAACATGTAACACAGATTTGTTTATAATTAACATCACTGATTTGGAAATACGACGAGCATGATGGAGCATCTGCCATAAATATGCTGACTTTTTGCTATGAGAACATCGGCACTTCTCAACCTATTAATTTCAGTCAACTAATTGATTTAAATAAATAAAATTAGCGACATCTACCGCTTTTGTGGGCGATTATCAACAACAATCTTCCTAACTGCTTCGTACTGCTGTTCTTTCAACTTTAATAATGTCTTTTTTCCCAATTTTCTTCAAAACGAAACCAACGCTTCATGGAGCGCTTGATTTGTATTCATATTTTATACAATAAACCATATATTTCGTTGTGGCCAATCCGGAAGCCAGTTTGATATGGATTTGTCCAGAGCCCCTCGTCGCGCTCGGTCGAACGCGCGTAAGAAGGGCTCTGCGTACGAGAATGGATAGTATACTTCAAAATAAGGTTTCCGTTTTTATAACGTAGAAAAAACCCATCATAACGCAAAACTACACCCTAATACTAAACCTAACCTTAAACCCCAACCTAACCCTAACCTAAACCCTAACCTAACCCTATTCTTGACGTTACATGACGTTCTTGCTTTTTCGTGCCCAGTCCCCGGCCGAGTTATATTGGGGAAACATACTCAATCCATGTCAGTCCGTCGGATGTCAAGATTTTTCGGAAATTCTCGTCAGCTCGAGCATTCGCCGACTCTTTGTTTTTATTCGATTTTGATTCGATTTTACTTATTTTGTATTGCGCTCGCATGATTCTTGTCAGGACTAAATACAGTTTAATACGATGCAAAGGATCGACAATATTTTGAATAATTCATGGAGGATAGCTTTACTTCTTTCTTTCTGGTGATATACATGAAGGCATTTATATTTAAATTTGCTGTTTAGTGTTCGATATAGAGGTATTGAAACCAATATGATTTCATGAATTTGCAGTTCTAATAACCCACTGATCGTCTTTATATTTATACAAGGAGACAAAATGTACTTTTAGTATCTGAGATATGTCCATTGGTTAGCATTGTATGTAATATAATACCGGCTAGCACATTCATATATTCACCTGCTCAGAATTTATTTCTACAACCTTAATCATTTCAAATGAATGGTCATCTAAAGCTGACAAAAATGTCAACATAGATTTTGTCTCCTCATCAGCAGATTGTTCAGTTGTTCTGCAATAGGGGTAGCCTTGAAAGTGCCATTAAAACAATAATCACGTCGTACTCATGCGCGATTTGATTTCGCGCACCTTGTTCATATTCGCGCATCTTTAAATTGGGGCAAGCCGGCAAGAAATTTTCCGTGTTCGTTCTTTTTGGTTTGTTCAATAGAACTATTAACAATTAACGTATTTATAACGAGTATTTCTTATCAAAACTTAATCAAAAAGCGATTAGGTGGCCTCAAAAATGGTTTCAAAATTATGTAATAAAACTAAAACATTTATTGTATGGTTCTCATTTGCCTAATACAATAACAATAATCTTATTAGCATTCCCATATATTAATAATATTATAGGTTCATAAATGGTATAAAACTACGGTGGCCCACAAGTGAAACACACAAATATATTTCAAACGCACAAATATATCTCAAAACACACAAATGTATTTAGCTAGAGTTCAAATGGATCCTCTTTTCGTTGCGGCTCTTCCAATGCGGCGCTCACACATTATCGTTGCCAACCTTTGGCGACACTATTTGAGTATCTGTGGCAAAATGCAGGCATTCGTAACGGAATGCTACGTGGAACCAGAGAATATCCCGACTGAAATTGTCTGGAAGGAAGACAGTACATTTTTTATTTAGAACATATGATATGTCAAATGTGTAGATGTGCGTTAAATCAGGTTAAATAAATCAACTGATTTGCATTACTAACAACCGGTGTCTCATATTACATCACAAAGCTTTTCGCGCGGATTATATTTCGCACATTACTAAAATTCGCGCAACCCAGCGCTGCGCGAATTCTAATACTGCGCAAATTTTAATACAAGTAAGGTATATGAAATTGTAGCAACAAGTCATGTTATGTAAGTTTTTAATGATTTGCATTATTCAAAAAGATGCAGGTTTATGCATAGCATGACCAGTTGCCATAGCCAGCTTGCCACTGAATACTGTACAATGTCATATTGCCATATATATCAACAATGATAATATTTGAATGAATCATTGAAGAGTTTAGTTTAATAACGGCTAGCTTCACCATTAACAGTATAATTATACATACAAAAGCAAGAAGTTATAAGCATTGAAGGGATTCATATAAAATCTCCCATGCAAAGAAAGTAGAATTAGAATATTTAGCTGACCTTCAACTTTGTGCAAGGTGTTTGATATTCAAACTGCACTTTTCGGTCTTTTCCTGCATCCTGAACAGGCGTATTAGCAATCTTGTACCCAGAGTATGCCCGTTCGCAAGTTAGGTCATGCCCAGCAACTAACCTGTGAACGGGTACACTCTGGGCTGTTTACATGATGGAAGATGGGATGATTTTGATGTATTGAAATAAGGGCTAGGCTAAACGAAAGTTCAAATGCTGGCTAACCGAACTCAAATGTTGTAGTGGAAGATCATGTATTTGACTATTTCAAGATTTTTATAGCTTTTTT